GTTTTTTATGTGAAATAATTCAGATAATGTTTGTTTCGAATTATATGTTCCCGTCTCGTATCCATTCCTATAAGTTTATATATTTTTTTAATAAATAACACCATTTACATGTAACTAAATATAATTTTAATATATGTAAAATTTCATATAATCGTCCAAAAGTAGAGATTTATACGTCCCAAAGTTGAATTTCGTTCAATATTTTGAGATTTTAAGAATTAAATATAACTACCAATTTTTTTTTATTTCAACCGGTTATCCAAAACTTATATATCATATTTGTCAAGGATAGTTTAAAATTGTACATATATGTGAGATAATCTTTGTAGATGTTTATTTATTATATCATTTATATCATACCAATTTGACATTTTATTTGTTTTCAATTAGATTAAATCATTAAAAATATAATCCATTTATTATTTAAAAATTGGTAATAAGTTGTTAAAATCATTTAAATGTGATATATCCACTTGTTATTTAGTTTTAATCTCAATAGAAATTCTATATGTTTATAATCTCAAAATGTAGTTTATGATTTGATAAAACAATTATTTAATATTTGATAATAGTAATGATATGCAAATTGCCAATGGATGAAGGTTTATTTTGTTAAAATTGTGTGAAATTAATAAGAAAAAAGAAGTTTAGAATAATCATTAACTAAAGGTTTGACCAAATAAAAATCATTAACTAATTGAATTAATGATAAATTTTGTAGATATCATTTGTGCTATAATTGCTAGATTGATATTTGAATATGAATATTTTTTATGTGAAAATAAGAAATTTATGTGATATAGAATGTTTATTCGCATGATTTTAGCAAACAAATATTTAATTATTGATTTAGTTAAATTTTATTTATATTTAAAAATTATATAATTTTTTTAAATTTTATGATATGATCAGTTCTGTATATATACTATGTAGAATTTGATTAGTTGATTATTTCATATGCTAACATATTTTTTTTATCTTTTTTTATTTTTCTAAAAAAAGTTATCTTTGTTATTTTAGATATGATGATTTTGTTTTATTAGATTTCATTCTATATAAATTATTAATTTCGAAATTATATTAACATATTAAATTAATAATAAATATGTTTATGTATATTCAAAATATATTTGTTTACATATATTTAGTTTTGAATTTAATTGTCCACTTTTTATGGTAAAAGATTATTATGATTTCCATAAATATAGATTGTTTTTGTTTTTGTTTTGGTTTTTTTTTTTGCTGTCATTAATTCTGTTTGGCAACTGGTTTTATTTTCATGAAATGGTTTTTTAAAATTAGGGGGTGTTTGGCTTCAAGTTGTCCTTCCCAATTAATAGTATAGATACATCCGTTTCTAAAAATTCAAATTGCAACATATGCAAAAAAAATATTATATTTTTACTATACATATGTTTATGTAATAATATAAATTTAAAAACAAATAAGATCATATAAAGATGTTGGAGAAATATTTGATTTATTAGGGAGAGATTTTAGGAAATTTGTTAAATGTAATAAATACTGATTTCTAATTTTGCAATTTTATTATGATTTAATTACAAAATTTGTCTTAAAATTTTCTATTTAGTTAAATGGCAAGGGGTAAATTATGAAAATATCACAAAATAAAAGGGTATAACACAAAAAGTATTTAAAAAATGTTAATATATATTTGTGTGTAACAAATATAAAAGATCTTGAAAGAAATGAATTAAAGAAAGACTAGCTAGGATCCTAACTCATCAGTAGACACTGGCTGTAAAAGATAATATAAAGAAAAGACTCCATCGAGATGTTAACGGCGAGTAATTGTCTATTAACAATTTGATCAAATTACTAAATAGTTTAATTTCGAAGACGACCGTAAAGTTTAGAAAGGATAAAAAAAAAAGCATGTGCCAACGCAAATGGCTCTACTTCCTCTCTCGATCTAAATTTTTCTAATTGACGTTAACTTCATAGATCATAGCTAGCGAGTGCATCAGCATCAAATGACTTACCTCTAGAATTCAAGAAGAAGAAGATTAAGGGTATGAATGTTTAGAAGATTTTGAGTGGTTTTTAGATTTTAGAGTTTAGTTTTTAGTTTTTGGATTTTACAAAAATTAAAAAAAAAATAAACAAAAAAATGAAAATAAAAAGTCACGTAGAGGAAATCTTAAAAACTATTTAAATTAAATTTTGGATTTTTTTTTAACAAATTGGTAAAAATTCTTAAAATCTGGAATCCACTTTTCTCAAAATCTTGAATGGCAATAAAATTGATTTTCCTAAAATCTAAAACCAAAAATTATTATAAAAACCACATTCATTCAAGGCCTAAGAATATTTATAAAGAATCACTCTCTCTATTTCTATAAAAAATCTCTCAAAACCTAAAAGTCTCTCAATCTCTTTTATCAAAATCTATGAGTTATGCCACAAGCTTAGCATCTCATTATATAAGAAAAGAACTAGACAATATTTCCTAATCTTTTTAAGAAACAAACAATTAAATATTTGTATAACTCTCAAATATAATGTCTAATCCTAATCTCTTTTGACTTGGTCTTCAAGCTTAAGCCAACATTACCAAATTGATTTATGACAAATGACATCTTCTCTTTCTCACAATGTTTGAGTTTATCATTTTAATCGCAAAAAAAAAACAAATTCAACATTCTTCTACTTAATTAGTAGATTTTAATTTAATTACAAGATTAAGAGATTGGCATACCTAGATACGATGGGAATCATATTTTTGTGAACTAGTGTGCACACTACTCAATGATTAACTAAACAATCTTACTAAGACCATAACTCAAATCTAGAGTAAATAAAGAAAGACTGCATCAAGTTGAAAACAGCAAATGAAAATCATTTTATATTTTCCATTTAAGCAAGTGTCTTAAGTTGATAGAAATAAAAAATCTAAAAAAAAATCTCAACTTGCTTAGTTATTAATAACAAAATAAATAAATAATTTTGGAGTAGATGGGGCAAACTATTGGGAAAGTGGAACAAAATTGGCGTCGTTGAAGATCTTACTTTGGAGTCAGATTTCAATATAAATTGTGAAGCACAAATAATTTATAATGTAATAAAGAAAAGATTCATTTCTTATCAAACAACTTGATCAAGTGGCTTAATTATTAGTTTTTCGAAGAAGGCCGTTAAGTTTAGAAAGGACGTAAAATTATTTCTAGAAAATTATAACTAGTTCTAAATATGTGGTCTCTATATAGAGTGTAGAAGGTAACTTTGGTTATATGGATAAAGTAACACATTTTCTAGTAGTCAAGATTTATAACAGGTACCGTACTCTATCATTGAACTCGATTAACTAGTACTTCATATTCTTTTTGGTATTCTTCCCTCAATACTAGACTAGTTTATGACTCAAAACTTTATCCTCGCTGGTTTCAGGGAAACTTACTCTCAGTCTTGTCAGATTGTGTCTATTCACTTGAGAAACGGATAGCCAAAAGAAGACAATCCATATCATGTTTTCATGAAGGATCCTCTGACTATGTTATTATGCATGTCCTTGGAAAAATTCAATCCATAATATACGTATATATATAGAACATATTCCTTTCCATTCCTTGTTACGTATCCTACTTTTTAAAAAAAAAATCAAGTTAGAGATAAACACGTAATTTCATATGGCTGCAGCTGAGAGTACTAATTTTTGGATTATCAACTCCTTACTTTCTTTTTTTTCTGTTTAACTGAGCACTAAATTTTAACTCACCCTTATTGTAACTCTGGAAGTTGAGTTGAGTTTTCATTTATTTTATTTATACGATAAAACAATATGTTTGCATTTTAGGATGCTCTTTCGATTTTATTCCTAGAAGCCTAAACACTCAAGCGCATACTATGCCAAAAGCAGCCTTCGTTGTATTTGACCCTATTTTGGGTTTCGACTAATGAAACAAAATTTTAGACCAAAAAAATAATACATTTTAGGATATGAAATTATGAACATTAACATAAAAACGTGAATTTAAACGTAAATATATTTTGTTGCAAAGAGAAAACATAAATATTTATTTTTATACACAAAAAAATCTTAAGAAAATAAGTTCATAATATAATTTTATTTTTAATATAGATAATAAATGTTGCACATAACATAATTATTGGTAGAATGGATCGTCTTTTGTAGAAAACTAGGATTTACCCCGTGGTGTACCACGGGTCCATAATTTAATATATATCTTTGGTTGTTCATTTTCGTAGTTGGTTTATATAATTTAGTTTTGTATATGTTTATTTCATTTAATTTAATAAAATTTTATAAATTTGCATTATAAGTAGATTCATAGATATATGTGGTAAACCCGTGGTACATCGCGACACGATTTTGTTGTAAATAAAAAATTATATTTTAACTTAACCAGTAAAAGATTTTAAATATAGACAACCCGCAGAAAATATAATAATATTTATGTAAACTAAAACCCGTTCAGTCATATTTATGTACAATATTATTATATTTTAAATATTTGTAGAGTTAAAATATTAATAATAATTTTAATTTTTGTAGAGTTTAAATATTTTTCATTATTTTAATATTCTATAAAACTTAAATAAAATATCATAATTTTCAGCTTTTTAAAGTTTTAATATTTATCACATTTTAAACTTGTTAAAAAATCAAAATTTATAATATTCTGAAACTTTTTAAAAATTTTATTTTCCTTAAATAAATAATCGGATTAAGCTAATAAAAAATTTAATTTGGATAATTGAGAAATCAAAGTTCATGCTCATTTTTAGTTGTAAACATATTAGTCTTATTTATAAAGTGTTTGAACTATTATCTAAAATTTTCTTTCTTATCTAGACGTTGTACATATATTTTTTCCTTTATTGATTTAGTCAACTACGTCCGTTTTCAAAAATTTAAATTGCAAAATGTGTGGAAAATGTGTATTTTTATTATAAATATATTTTATGTAATAATATAAATTTAAAACAAATAAGATTATATAAATATATTGGAAAGAGATTCGATTTATTAAAGAGGGATTTTAGGAAATTTTTTGATGTAATAAATATTTGGTTTCCAATTTTGGGATTTGCTTGTGATTTAATTACTAAATTTACTTTTGTTATTTATTCAAATGACAAGAGTTTGATTATGCAAATATTACAAAATAAAAGGTTATAAGCCAAAATAGATTTTAGTACAAAATGTACTTCAAAAATGTTAAGATAGATTCCAATGTAGTTCGTAAATCAGAAATCATGGACTTCATCTTAAGCTAAAGTCAACTATTGGAAGATTGGATCGTCATTTGTAATTTTTAATCCCCAGAGACCAATAATGCAGCTTATTATTTTCACTTAATTAAAAACCTAAACACTTCTCTACTTGAATTAATCAATTGATACAGCGTTATTGGACAGCCAACACAATCCTAAAATGCCCACGAGCTGACAAAAGATGCCAACACAATCAATACTAAAAAAGAAAAACCATGTGCCAGGAAAGTTGACTTTCATGTGTTTGTGTATATAGATGTGGGAGAAGCATGAAACGAACATTTATCACAGCCAAACAAATCATCCACCTAGAAGAAAAGAGAGAGCAAAAATACTATCAAAATTACCCCAAAAAACTATGGATTCGATCGGTGGATTTCATGAGTTGGAATCTCAGTTTGTATATCATCACCCAAAATACAATCCCATCCCACATACACAAAAATCTGATAAAGCATTTTCTAGTCACGACCACTCTTTTCAACCCCTTTACTTATGTCCTCTTCCACGAAGTAGAAAAGAAAAATCTGATTCTCTCACTTATCCTGTTAGTTATTCCCCAGAATACGTCGGCTCTACAACCACAAGTGAAGAAGATCATCCAGTACTCCCTTTGTTTTGGTGCAACAATCAAGAATTCGATGTTGATGGTGGGTGCGGCATATGCAGCGGCTCTAATTTTGGCACAGACTATTATTTCTGTGTCGAATGTGATAGAATCTTGCACAAAGAATGTGTCCAGTCTCCATTTAAAATCAAACACCCTTACCATCCAGAACATTTTCTCCAACTTTCCTACCGTGATCCTAGTGCTCCCGATATAAAGTGTTTATGTTGTGGAAGAATAGCAACCAATCTGGTATATTATTGTACCATATGTGATGTTGTAATGCATACAATTTGTGCGATGAAGTCAATACTATGGCGGATTTCATGAGGTGGAAATCGATGGTAAACTATCACAGCTGGTATACCATCACCCAAAATACCAACCCATACCACAATCACAAAGCCTTACTGCACCCTTCGATGAGGCAGTCAACAATGACCTCTTCTTTTGCCCAATGGCACGATGTCTTAAAGATGGGACTGATCGTAAGATTCACCCGCTCATTTCCTCACCAGATTACGTCGCCTCTACAATAAGTACCCACCGGGGGATAGATCATTCAATACTCCCTTTGTATTGGTGCAACAATAAAGAATTTGATGCTAATGGTGGGTGCCATATATGCAGCGACTCGAATTTTGGAATAGACTATTATTTTTGTGAGCTCTGTGATGGAATATACCACAAAGAATGCGTCGAGTCTCCATTTATAATCAAACGCCCTTATCATCCGGAGCACTCTCTCCAGCTTTCTTATCGCAAGTCTGATGCTCCGGATATAGAGTGTTTTTGTTGTGGAAGAGGAGCAAAAGTTATGGTACACTGTTGTACCAAATGTGAAGCTGTAATGCATCCAATATGTGCCATGAAGTCGATATCTTTTGTTGTAGACCAGCCAAAACGTCATGACCATCCCCTCACTCTTTTTCCAGAACAAGCTTCCTTAACTTGCAACATTTGTGGTCTAATCAGAAAAAACTATCCCACCTATGTATGTCTCAGATGCAGATTTGTTGCTCATAACGATTGTATGTATTCTCCATCCATCATCAAGATATCACGTCACCACCACCGCATCTCCTATGCTTCTTCTCTCCAGTATGAAGAATGGTCTTGTGGAGTTTGTCGTAAAAGTATTGACGGTAATTATGGTGCATATAGATGTGACAAATGTGATGACTATGCTGTTCACGTAAGATGTGCTGTACGGAAAGATGTGTGGGATGGAGTTGAACTCGAAGGTGTACCAGAAGAAGATGATATAACTCAAGATGTTGGGCCGTTTAAGGTAATATCTGAAGGAGTGATACTCCATTTTCTTCATGACCACCATCTTCGGCTCGAGGTTAGCATACTTTATGATGAAAACAAGCTCTGTGAAGCTTGTGTTATGCCTATATTTGAAGGTAGCTTCTATTCTTGTACGGAGTGTAAGTTTATTGTCCATGAAACATGCGCACAATCACCCCGCAAGATACAACATGCGTTACATCCTCATCCACTTACACTGAAGGTTGCGAGTAGATATGAGCATGATTTCTTTTGTTGTGATGCTTGCGATCGTATTTGTGCTGGATTTGTCTATGAGTGTCACGTAGGAGAATGCACCTTTGATCTAGATGTACGGTGTGCTTCAACTTCCGAGCCGTTTGCTTTCCAAGGCCACAAACACCTCTTGTTTCTAGCTTTACACCCAGACGTCAAACCAGTATGTGAGGTATGCGAAGTAGAATGTCATAAACAGTTTAATTGCATCAAATGTGATTTTATTGTTTGTATCAAGTGTGCTACCTTACCATACAAAGCAAGGTACAAGCACGACAAACATTTTCTGACAATTTTATGGGGGGAAGAAGTGTGTGAGAAAGATTGGTGCGAGATCTGCGAACGTAACTTAAGAGATACAGACACTACGTTATTCTACTGGTGCAACGACTGCTGCACTACTCTTCACATTGACTGCTTATTTGATGACGAGCCATATGTGAAACCGGGTCTACTTTTAAGAGCAGATGGGAAGGATATCAAAGTTCTTGGCAAAAGAAATCTTTCTCGACCACTTTGTGATTCTTGTCAGTACCCTTGTCAAGGCCGAATATATATGACAGCCATCGGCAGAGCGTGTTCTTTTACATGTACTGCTAACTTATATGCTGGGTGATTACATATTATTCTGTAATTCACATTTTTGACTTTGAGTTTGAGGTGTGTTTAACCTCGACTCTAATTCGATTGTTAAATTAATGTATTGTTTGGTAATTACAAAGTTGGATATTTCTCAAAATTTAGATATTGGCTTCTAATCATGGAAGATTTGCACAACTAACCTTTATTATGATACCCTTTTCTACAAGTACCCTCTCTAGGTGTTCATTTTCAAAAATACCATCTTTAATGTACAAAATGACTAAATTACCCTCCTTTATTATAACTCATGATGAAAAAGGAATATTCTTTCCAACAAAAAGAATATTCCTTCCGAAAAATTTCCCGCCAAATTTTCCCGCCAAAAAATTCCTACAAAAAATTTTCCCGCCAAAAAAATTTCCCACCAAAAATTTTCCCGCCAAAAATTTTCCGCAATTTCTTAAAAAAACATTGTAAATATTTATAAATCCCTTAAAAAATCCTTTAAAAACCCTTGTAAATCTTTTAAAAGTCATCCAAAACCTTTCAAAACTGGAGTAAACCTTTTAAAACCATTGTAAATCATTTTATAACATTTATAAACACTTGTAAATCCCTTTAAACCCCTTATAACCGTGATAAATCATTTAATAAAAACTTTTGTAAACTTCTAAAACCCTTTAAAAACCCTTTTAAATCCTTAAAACCCATTTTAAAGAACTTGTAATACCTTTAAAAACTTTATGTAAACCCTTCAAAAACCTTTGTAAACTTTTAAAGCCCTTTAAAACTTCTTGTAAATCCTTTAAAACTATTTTTAAATATTTGTATGCCTTTAAATATACTTTTAAATCCTTTTAAAAAACCTTTAAAAATCCTTATAAATTTTTAAAATCCTTTAAAAATTCTTGTAAATCCTTTTAAAACTATTATAAACTTATAAAAACTTTTAAAAACCATTGTAAATCATTTAAAAACCATTTAAAAACATTTGTAGGCTTCTAAAACTCTTTAAAAACCATTACAAATCTTTTAAAAACCATTTAAAAACTCTTGTAAATCCCTTTAAAAACCCTTTAAAAAAATTTGGCGGGAAAATTTTGAAAAAATATTTTTTTTTGCGGGAAAATTTTTGCGAAATTTTTTTGGCGGGAAAGTTTTTCTCGGAAACTTTTTTGGCGGGAAAGTTTTTAGCGGGAAATTTTTGGGGGGGAAATTTTTGGAAGGAATATTCCTTCCTTTGGGAAAGAATATTCTTTCAAATAGGGGTAAAATAGCCATTAAAAATTAAGAGAGGGCAAAAATGAAAATGGTAAAAAAAGAGGGTATTTTTAAAAGAGAGTATCATAAAAAAGTTATTGGTATCAATTTCTCTCTAATCATTCACTAGTTTGATTTGGATATGCCCAAAAATTATAATCCCAAATCAAAGAATTTCGAGCATATAGTATGTCGATATAGGTAGTACAAATTTTAATTGTTTTTTTCAATCATGTTACAAAATAATTTTTCTTCCAACATAGTAAATCCTTTGACAAATTAATGCATAATTGTAGAAGATAAGATAAATAATAAATATTATAACTTGAAAAATTAAAAATATTATAAATTACATATTTTTAAAAGAATGTGATAAATTATTGATCATTTAAAGGGTCTGGTTTATTGATTTGTAAATTCATATATGATTTGAAATTTTTTATTGATTATTAAAATCAACCACATGAATTTTGAAATAACACTAGATTTTAACCCGCGGTACACCGCGGGACGATATTTTAAAATGTATATTTTTATTAATTTTGTTTGGTGTATATGTGTGTACTAATATATTTTGATTGTTAATTCTATGATTTAACCGTAAAATATTGTATGATAATTTATCTTTTATATAATCATAATTTGATCAACTTAATTAATTAAATATAATATTTAAACAAATGAAATGATGTTGACATAATATTTTTCACTTAAATAGTATAATTTCATATTAAAATATTTTGTGAGTTATACTATAGTAGACAGCCCGTGAAAGCATCTGTAATCATAGTTATGTAATTTATAACTTGTTCCATCACATGATCCGTGCTACACAATTACCAATAATACTTTAATACATACATTTTATGTATCAATAAATATACGTCCGTTTTCAAAAATTCATATTGCAACATATGCGGAAAAATTGTAGTATTATGATACATACTAGATTTTAACCCGCGGTACACCGCGGGACGACATTCTAAAATATATTATTATATTATTTTTGTTTTGTATATAAGAGTATACTACTATATTTTGATTGTTAATTTTATGATTTAACCCGTAGAATATTTTATGATAATTTATTTTTTATATAATCGTAATTTGATTAAATTAATAAAATAAGTATAATATTTAAAATAATGAAATGATACTGACATAATATTCGTTTACATAATATAATTTCATATTAAAATATTTTTGTGAGTTATACTATAGTAGAAAATCTGTAAAAATATCTATAATCATAATTATGTAAATTATATAACATGTTCCATCACATGACCTGTGCTACACAATTATCAATAATATTTTAGTACATACATTTTTGTATCGTTTGAGTAATATACATCCGTTTTTAAAAATTCAAATTGCAACAGATGCAAAAAAAAAAATTATATTTCTATTATACATATGTTTATGTAATAATATAAATTTAAAAACAAATAAGATCATATAAAGATGTTGAAGAAAATTTTGGTTTATGAAGGAGAGATTTTAGGAAATTTTGTTAAATGTAATAAATATTGATTTCTAATTTTGCAAATTTATTATGATTTAATTACAAAATTTATCTTAAACTGTTTTTATTTAATCAAATGGCAGAGATTTAGTTATGCAAATATTATAAAATAAAAGGGTAAAAGACAAAAGGTACTTCAAAAATGTTAATATAGATGTTATATGTAAGAATATTAATTTTAAAAACAAATAAGATCACATCATTTAAAGACATTTAAGAAATTTTTAGTTTATTAGGGAGATATTTTAGGAAATTTTGTTAAATGTAATAAATGCTGATTTCCAATTTTGTAATTTTATTATGATTTAATTACAAAACTTACTCTAAGTTTTTGTTATTTAATTAAATGGCAATGGTTTAATTATGTAAATATTACAAAATAAAAGGGTAGAACACAAAAGGTAATTTTTTTTTTTTTTTTGGCAATAACTTACTAACAAATTGGCTCAAACAAGCCAATCAGAGGGAACATTGTTTACATACTTGACATGAAGCAGAATGGTACGAACTTTGCGTGCCAAAAAATCCGCTTTTACATTTGCATTTCTTGGAATAAGAGATAAAGAGAAAGAAGAGAATTCTTCCCTGTCGATATGGATATCATCAAGGTATACTGAGAAAGCCGGCCAGTCGGAAGGAGAAGACACCATCTTCACCAAATCTGAACAGTCTGTAAGGAAAACAACATCTCTGAAATTATGGCCAACCATGCATCTCATTGCCCATACAAGCGCTTCCACTTCAGAATGGAGAGGAGATAGACTTCGACGGACATTCATTGCCCCCCTGATCGTTGAATGTCCTGAGGAATGCTGACAGAACCAGCCTATGCCTGAGAATTCATCAGTTGCCTTCCAGGAGCCGTCCACAAAGCAGTGGTAGCTTATAAGAGAGGGACGGAGGGATGGTGGGCCGCCCCGCACCCGAGGGAATGAAAGCTGAGAAGCCATTGGTTGGCCCGTGTCTTCAACCTGGGCCTGTTGCCAGGCTCGCGCCTCGCTAATGGCCAGATTAACCACGTCCATAGGACTTTCATCCAAATTCTCAAACATATTTGCATTCCTAGCTTTCCAAATATACCAGATTACCCAAGGGAAAGTTACCTCAGGGCCGCACGTGTCTATCTGACCAAGGAGATAATCAATATTCGCATACACAGACTCTGTTGGGAAAGAGATTGTACCAACTGTTATGTTTGCTAACGCCCATGTCTGGCGCGCTGGTGGGCACTCAAAAATGACATGATTAGCCGTCTCTGTCTGAGCACCACATCGTCCACAACTAGAATCACAATTAATACCCCGACGACGTAAATTAGCTGAAACAGCTATACATCCTGTAAGCAGTTGCCACATAAATTGATGAATCTTTGGCGGACAACGTACTTTCCATATACTCCCCAACAGAGGTAAAATATCAGGCCCATATACCTTAGTAGACTCGGTCCGGGAATCCATCATCCGGGCCGTATAATAACCAGATTTAACAGTGTATTTACCATTCTTTGTAAAGTGCCACCCAAAGGAATCAGGCTTTGGAACATTACCGATCGGAAGAGCACGAATCAAAGAAACGTCCAGTGGAGCAAAATGCTCTTGGAGCACATCCATTCGCCAAGAGTTTGTCTGGCGATCAATCATTTGTCTTATCTGTAGAGATGGGTATATAAGCGACCCATTACTCAAAGCTGGTCTCGGGAATTGAGCTGGTATCCAGGGGTCAGTCCATACTGAAATGGAGTCCCCCGAGCCAACTCTTTTAATAAGCCCTCTATTTACCAGAGATCTAGCTGAAGTAATACGTCGCCATCCATAAGATGGGGAGTATGATTTAAGCGGTTCCAATGGATTGGAATTCCGATAGTATCGACTTTTAAAAACCTTTGCAAAAAGTGATTCCGGGTTGTCAATCAGACGCCACAACTGTTTAGCCAAGAGTGCTGAATTAAAGTCATTAATATCCCTAAACCCAAGGCCACCCATTTTCTTACTAGAACATAATTTCTCCCACGCCACCCAATGCATTCCCCCAGTTTGGCCATTAGTACTCCACCAAAAATTTGCCGCTGCACTAGTTAGTTTTGATGGGATCGTTTTAGGAAGCCGAAAGCAAGACATCACATAAGTCGGTAAAGCCGCCGCCACCGATTTAATCATCACCTCTTTCCCTCCCTTGGATAGAAATTTGGCCGACCACCCGTTTATATGACTATGTAGTCTATCCCTTACAAAAGAAAAAAATTTGGTTTTAGATCCCCCTAGGCTCTCCGGCAATCCCAGATATGACCCTATTCCTCCCAAATTTGAAATCCCGAGAGTCTCCTGTAACTCCTTTTTGGTATCCTCATTTACCTTGTGTCCAAATTGAAGTGAGGACTTTGAGAAATTTATCTGTTGTCCTGAAACCGCCTCATAATGCTTCAAAATACCCAGAATAACCGCACATTGGTCTGTGGTTGCCTTACAAAAAAATAGACTATCATCCGCAAACAGTAAATGCGAGATAGGTGGGCATTTATTTGCCACTTTGATTCCTGTAATTAACTTTTCCCGCTCCGCCTTCCTGATATTGGCGATTAAAGCCTTTGTACATAAAATGAATAGATAGGGAGATAAAAGATCCCCTGTCGTAAACCCCTACCTGGAATAATAGAACCATGAGGCTGTCCATTTATTAAGACCCGATATTAAACTGATGATACACAATGCATAATCAAAGATATCCATTTCTCCGAGAAACCTATTTTTCGCATCAACCGTTCTATGAAACTCCATTCAACCCTATCATACGCCTTAGTCATATCTGTGTCGATGGCCATAAATTTACTTTTACATGACTGATTAGTCCGGAAACCATGGAACATTTCCTGAGCGATCAAGATGTTATCAGACATCAACCATTTTTCAACAAAAGAGGATTGTGTTTCCGATATAAGACCTGGTAAAACCGTTTTAAGTCTTTGACAAAGCACTTTCGAAATAATTTTGTAACCCACATTGCACAGACTGATAGGTCTTAATTCCGTCATCCTGGTTGGTCTTTCCACTTTGGGGATTAGACAAATATGTGTCTTACTTAAGCGTTTATCAAACACCCCCTCCTCGAAGAAGGAATTAACCAGGTGGAGAATATCCTCTTTAACCACACTCCATGCCTTTTGGAAAAACAAAGTTGTCATGCCATCCGGGCCTGGAGCTTTATCTGGGTGCATCATAGACAAAGCTGCCCGAACCTCTTTCTCCGTGGCCGGAGCTGTTAAGAAATCATTAACATCCTCCGTTACCCCAGCCGTCACCTACATTAAAGCTTCCTCAAAATCGTGAAGAGTACTTGTTGTAAACAAGTCATCAAAATATCTTACCGCTATGCCGCAAATATCCTTATCTTTCGTAGACCAAATATCATTTTTATCGTACTGCCCCACAATTCGATTCCGGGCTCGCCGCTGTTTTGTTTGGGCATGAAAATATTTGGAATTCTTATCCCCCACTCGCATCCATCTGTTCTGACTTTTCTGTTGCCAATACACCTCCTCATCTTTGTAAGCCTCACGCAAACGGGAAGATAATTCAGTAATATCTTCTGGACGGCTTAAATCATCCGCCTGAGCCACGGCTAATTGACCTTTCAAATTTTCTATTGTATCCCTCCCAAATGGAACCTGATTTTTCCGCCATTGAGATATTGCACGTCTACAACTGATCAACTTATCCACAAAAATGTTAGAATGTTGACGGGTGTCTCTAGTCCACCCCTCTGAGATCGCCTCTAGCAAACCATCCTTTCCAATCCAGCGTTTGTCAAACATAAAACTCTGTTTACGACGTGAGGTCTTTTCTGCCACAAAAGCTAAAATAGGCTTGTGGTCCGATCCAATCATAGGCAAATATTCAATTACGGTATCCGAAAATAACTCATGCCAATCCTCATTGCCCAAAGCCCTGTCCAACCGACATCTAATCGGTTTTTTATCCCGCCAACCCCGCCATGATAAGCAATCGCCGATATATGGGAAATCCAAAAAACCGCAATCTCGTATCATACAATTGAAAGATAGGAAGGAGAAGCTGGACGTATCTTCCCCCCCCCTCCCACGTTTCTCATGATTTCCAGTTAGTTCATTGAAGTCTCCAATTACAAACCAAGGATTAGACCTATGTAAAGCAATCCTTGTTAAACGTTCCCAAACTAGATCACGTTTTTGAGGAACCGGATCACCATATAAAAATGTTAAGTTAATCTTTTTTCCTTGTATACCGCTTCAACATCAATCAATCTATTGGACTCAAATAGAATTGAAACATTGAAATCATTATTATTATAAAATAGCGCAAGACCGCCACTACAACCAATGGGGTCAATCGTTTTTAAACTTTTATAGCCAAAATGGCCTACAAACATTTCCAAAAATAGAGATGATTGTTTTGTTTCCGAAAGGAACAAAAAATCGGGCCGATATTTAATCCACATATCCCTAAGATACCCAATTGTAGCCTTATTTCCGAGACCTTGACAATTCCAGCTTAATACCTTCATTTATCCACTGTTGGTTTTGGTGGCTTGGCTCCGCCTACGCCTCCCTTCGCCTTCTCCTGAAGCTTCGAGACATGTCCTCCTCCCACTGGCTCTAAACCGTGTGGGACCTGCCGTTTCCTTGGTGACAACAGCAACTGGGCGTTACGTTTCCTTGCGCTTACTCCTTTGAGTATCAAAGGGCCCGAGATCCTCTTGCCTTTATCGCCTGCAGCATCCCTACCTACTCCTTCCTTCTCAGCCATTACAACACCAGTGTCCACAGATCCATGTATCCTCCCCTCGTTACCTACGGTCAGCACATCTTCCCCAAAGTTTTGCACCAAAGTCGAATCCGCAACATCCATAGCTGCTGCATTCACCTCTTTTTCATCAATATCTGGATGATCTGAGATCTCCTCAATACCCACCATATGAGAGAATTCATCACGACTCACAGAAATATGTGAGCTAGACCCACACTCAGTCGCTCCATCTTGCACCATAAGGTCTTCTTTGTCAACAACCACAGCTGAATCCACCACCAAACCTTGCTCTTCAGTGTGCTGTACCGAATGCTCCTCTGCTAGCACCGCTTTACTCCCCCCCACTGATCGCTTCCACCTCAGACGTCCCCAAGCTCAAACCAACTATTTTTTCCATCTCATGATCACTTTCCTCCAGTTGTCCCTCCTCTAATTGGATAGTGCCAGTTATAAGGTTAGCCATAGCTTCACCATCCTCTTCAGATTCCGTAAACAACGCTTTCCAGACCTTTTTCTGTTTCTTAATAGCTGACTCCTGCTCCCTGGATTCCTCAGGAATCGGATCAAGGACAGAACCAAAAACTAGAGCAGCTGGGAGACTTGATTGTCCATGGGAACCCCCTTGCAACTTTCCATGACTCTCCTTGTGGATTACTTTTGGATTTGAATTCTTATATTTTACATTTTCAAATCTATTTAAAATATACTAAATATTTTGAAATAAAAAACAAATCATTAAACAAATAACATAGTTTTAACTAATATTTATAAATTATAGAACTAATAACACATAATTTCTGTTTCAAAATCGAAATCCATTAAATTCTATAAACCAATATAACTCCACCCAAGTAATTTTCTATGTGTAAATTAGTTTTCTGTCGAAACTCGAAAGAAGTTCTAAAAGTTATTTTATTTTCATAAGAACGTAATTAACTCATTTAAACGAAACGACAGCGTTTCCGAGCGTCTCATAGATTATTATGTGTGGCAAAGTTAACCAAACTCAGGCGAGAGAGATCAGGAAAAAAAAGTGATGAATGAGTACTCTCCTCCTCTGATCATCACTTCTGCATCATCACCCATTGATCCGATCACATTTTGTTTCTCTTCTCTCAATCGTAATTTTCAATCATCCGATTCGATCCATCGTTACCGGATTTTGATTTCGAGGTTCTCCGGTTTTGATTTCACCCTCCAGTGGTGATCGGCGAATTTCGCCATGTCGTGGGGATTAGGATGGAAGAGATCATCGGAGAGTTTCCGATTGAGTCTCAGTTACGGCGCCGATGATCTAAACGACGATCCGATTCAATCACCATCGGCGTCTCCGTACGGATCTCCAACTTCGATGTCTTCGTCATGTTCTTCTCCATCTGCTGTGGAGGATCCTGAATTAGGGTTCCGGATTGATTTAGATTGGACTGCAGGCGATTCGGAGGATCAGGTAGCGTTGAGATTGGAATCGCAGTTAATGGTGGCTTTGCCTGCGCCGCATGATACAGTGGTGGTTGAATTGAGGGGAATTGGAGATGGCGATGAAGGTGGTATAGAGAATGTTGGATTAGTGATGAGAGTTGAGAAACGGAGGGAGCCATTACGAGCAGTTACATTGATGAAAGCGGTTGGTTCGGGTCAGCAGTACGATGGTGTAGGCGTCTTGACTAGACTGATGCGGTCTGATATGATGCCTGCAGCTATTCCTGCCCCGGCTATTGACGTTGCTTCTTCTTGTGGGGTGCATTGGAAGACTGTGACCTCGTTGAGTCTTTCTGGTTGTGGTTTATTGGTGCGTTTCTCTAACATTTTTTGAATTCATGGAAACAAACTGGTGGAAAGCATCAACCTTGATTAACAAATGTTTAGCAATCAAAGCTTCTCTGCTGTGTATATCAATTCTATCAAGAAAAACTCGTTTTTTTTAACGTGATACTCCTTTTGAACATAGGAGAGATGCTTTTTAAAATTTGGGTTATGCTGTTCTGTTTTTAATGCTTTGCAATGTTGGGCAGGTAATGCCAGTTGAAGTGACTGAGTTGCCTCTCCTTGAAAAGTTATGCCTTGAGCACAATAAACTATCAGTTTTGCCACCTGAGCTTGGGAAGCTGAAAAACCTTAAGATTCTTAGAGTTGACAATAACATGCTTATATCGGTTCCAGGTGAGCATCACCTGTCAATTCCTTATACTTTTTCTTCGCATTTTAATGGTAGCAGAAATACATGTTGGTGGAACATTAGCTTAGATTTTTCAGCTGATGTTGGGTGAAACGCTTGTGCAGTGGAACTAAGACAGTGTGTGGGTCTTGTTGAATTGTCGTTGGAACACAATAAACTCATCCGGCCTCTTCTTGATTTCAGGTCATTGTTGCAGAGAGCTGGTATTAGTGTTTTACTTGTTTTTTTCTTGAATTTAGTACGAGTTTGATTATCCGATTGAAATGCAGGGCGATGTCTGGGCTACGGATACTACGGCTTTTTGGTAATCCCCTTGAATTCCTTCCAGAAATTTTACCCTTGCATCAGCTCCGCCACTTGTCTCTTGTTAATATCAGAATTGTTTCTGATGAGAATCTAAGATCAGTAAATGTACAGATTGAGGTAAGGAGAAAGCTCATCACACAATCTGTGTGCTAGTTTTTATTCTCTAGATCATTAGGTTTTATGCTAAGGGTGACTTTCCATGATGCCAGACTGAAAACACTTCCTATTTTGGAGCATCTAGGCACAAGCTGAGTGCATTCTCTCCCCTTATATTCCGTTCTTCGTCTTGTCACCATCCTCTTCTAGCATCTACACTGGTGAAGATAATGCAAGATGAAGGAAATCGTTCTGTCATTGGTAAAGATGAAAATGCGGTGAGGCAGCTTATAAGTATGATAACAAGTGACAATCGCCACGTGGTATGTTGTTTTTTTGTTTTATGATATGAGTTGAAAAAAGAACTTTCTTTTGGCAACAGTCACCATAACTACAGGTTTGATAGGTTGAGCAAGCTTGTGTTGCTCTATCATCTCTTGCTCAAGATGTTGGCGTAGCAATGCAGCTGATGAAGTGTGATATTATGAAGCCAACTGAAACTGTTCTGAAATCTTCAGCCCCAGACGAAGTTATATCCGTTTTACAAGTCGTGGTCACCTTAGCTTTTGTATCTGATTCCGTTTCTCAGAAGATGCTCACTAAGGATATGCTGAAATCCTTAAAATCCTTGTGTGCCCATAAGAATCCCGAAGTAAGATAGCTGCAATTTTACCTTCCTAATAAGAAAGTCGTATAGTTTCTTCGACTGAGTTTCTTTTACCTTAGGTTCAAAGACAAGCCTTATTAGCAGTTGGGAACTTGGCCTTCTGTTTGGAAAATCGTCGCATTCTGATTACTTCAGAGAGTTTGAGGGAGTTATTGATGCGGTTAACTGTTACACCTGAACCACGAGTCAACAAAGCTGCGGCTCGAGCTTTGGCAATTCTTGGTGTGTTTCTTGTGCATCAAATCGTTTTTTAGCTAGATACTCTACTTCGGCATGACATACAACGTTTTTCTTCTAATGACAGGAGAAAATGAAATTCTGCGACGTTCCATAAAAGGCAGGCAAGTACCAAAACAGGGACTGCGCATACTCACCATGGATGGAGGTGGAATGAAAGGTCTTGCAACAGTGCAGATGCTTAAGGAGATTGAGAAGGGAAGTGGCAAGCCTATACATGAACTATTCGACCTTATATGTGGCACATCAACAGGAGGAATGCTAGCTATTGCCCTTGGTGTCAAGCTTATGACACTGGAACAATGTGAAGAAATTTACAAGAATCTAGGTGTGTAGAATTCCCTTTGAGCTCTACAGCTTGGTTAACTTATTGGTTCTGGAATTTACTTTGGATGATTTTTCTTTAGGAAAGCTTGTTTTTGCTGAATCTGTCCCAAAGGACAATGAAGCTGCAAGTTGGCGGGAGAAGTTGGATCAGCTATATAAAAGTTCATCGCAAAGTTTCAGAGTTGTTATTCATGGATCTAAGGTATGTACAACTCTTTTTGTTCTTCTGTAGCGACATAGAATCAAAGAGCTAGACTTTCTGATTACGGTTTTCAGGAATTATCATTTTTTAT